AACTAAATAAAAATGATATAACAATAAATATTAATGTGTGTTAAGATGAAATTCCAATCTTATCGTTTACTTCTGATGCAAAAAAGCATAAAATTTTACTTTTTCTTTTTTTCCATTTTTTTAATACCAACAACAATAATAATAACAAATTATCGATAAATATTTTATATATATATATATATATACATACACATGCCTCTAATCAGCTGAGCAGTGCAAAGTAATAAACAATTAAATTAACAACTCATAAATAATGCCTGTTAACAGAACAACCACACGATATACAAAAAAAAAAAAAAAAAAAAAACCAAAAAAACAATCACTCCTTAAACTTTTCCCCTTTTTTTATAATAGAAGAAGAATAGTATTTGTGTTGCTTTTTTCATTGCACTGCATTGTTCTGCTTATGGTGTCGAAGTCAGCACGCACCCACATCGAGCGTGTCGCACTCAGTCCGTCAGTTACTTAATAAAATATCAGTGCATTTCATTTAAGTGAAGAAAAGATAGATAGAAAGAAAGCAAGCCCCAGATAACTAAGTGTTTGAAAGTTGTTTTCCTTCCAACCCTACACCCATTGATATAATAAAGCAACAACCCACTCACTTGATGTTGATGTATTACGGGCACATAAATGTCTGTAAAAAATAATATATCTTCAGATTGTTATTATTATTATTATTATTATTATTATTATTATTACTACTATTTGTATTATTGAAATACATTTTTACATATATACATTATAACATATGTACATAAGAGACAATAACAAAGCGTGCGGTAAATCAACACTTGTTGAGCATAACAGTCGCATCGACCCTTGACTGCGTTTTTATCATGTATAAACGGCCAAACAGTCAATCAAGCCGCTGCCAGCCATTCAGCGAGTCAGCTAAGTAAAAGTTATTCATGCACTCCCTTTTTTCTCTGTGTGCGACTGTGTGTGCTCGTGTATATGTGAATTTAAAAAAAAAAAAAAAAAAAAAACAAAAACAAAAAGTATAAATTCTGTTGCTTATATTCAAACATGCACAGATGTGTAAACAAACATATGTGCATTTTATGTATGTATGTAATTATTTGTTTGTGAAAGGGTCATGACACATTCACTTATTCTTTCCAATTCCAACTGAAGGTTAATAAGTTAAATAATAAATTGAATTGATTTCAATTTGATTTGTTTGTTATTAAGAAATATTTTCTTTTTGAACTATTTGACATTATATATATATATACGTATATGTGTAAGTAAACATATTAATTTAATAATAATAATAATAAACACTTGTGTTATCTCAATTATTTTGTAAAGAAAGCGTGAAAAAACTTTTTAATGAGATATGACGAACGAATGGATTGATTGGTCGGATAGCCGTTTACGTGTACCTTTACGTACGAGCTATCCTTATACTCAAACTTATTACAACAATAACACTAATAATAATAATGATTATAATTACAATTTAAATACTTGTGATAACTATGTTAATAATAATAATAGCAATAGTATTAACTATAATTGCTTAACATCGCATAAATTTAATGTTAAATTACCGAAAATTCAACAATTATATAACACAAATAATAAATTAAAAGGTAATTAAACAAATATTCATTTTTTAACTCATCTGAGAGAAGCGACTACTACTACTACTACTACTACTACTGCAACGCAATTTTATTTATATGATGTTTTTGTTGCGTTCCCTTTCTCTCTTCCGACGATCTTTCCTCTTATTTGCCCTTCTCCTGCTCACTCTTATTGTTTATTTTACTTGTAAGTTTTTGAGAATTTTTTTGAAAGAAAGAAGGAAAATTAAAAAGTCTTATATTAACTTCATAACGGATTTTGGGGAAATTTGTCGTACGTGAAAAACGAGACATACTTTTCAAATTATGTACGAGAGATAAATTGAAAGTAGAAACTTCCGCAATTGTCTCAAGTTCCATTTTATATATTTAAAATCATAAATCAATATGGCAAAGCTACAACAAGATTGATAACTTTTAGACGACTCTTGTGAACAAGAAGAGTTTAATTCAACTTTTTAAGCTTTGAGGGACTTGTCAAGGTTACTTGATTAGAGGCATATGTATTTTCTTTTTCCGATTAGAGCCAGATCGGTGCTTTTCGAGTTGAGTATAGTTCTTATTAACATCTTTCTCAGAAAAAAGAACAGGTCGGGAGCATGCGAATTTCCCAGCTTGCATACACACAGGTAAACAACTTAAAGCTAACAAGGGTGCATCGATTCTAAGGCGTAAAAGTTTGAAAGAAAAAAATATGAAATCTAGATAGAAAATGAAAACTAGGTCTAGGCTCTCTACGGACAAGCTTAGATATCGGTAGACATATTTCTGTCAACAGCTCCTATCAGAAATGTACTCCTGCTTCATCCAACCTTATGAAATGTAGGAGAAATAAAAAATATTTTATGTGGAGACATTAAACTTCTTACTTGTTTATAGCTCTCTTGTAATCTGTTTTTTTAACATTGATCTATGACAGCTGCAGTTTCATATACAAGTCATGAATTCCAACTGCCAACCGATGAATAAATAAAACTGAAATAACTTAGAAGCTTTTATATTGGGCTCGCACATAATTGCATAATAAATGTCCACAAAATTTGCTGCTCTAAGTTTTCATAAATGCTTCAAAGTACTATTGAGACGATATCAGAAAACTCCATTGTCGCCAATACTAAGATTGAGATCGATCTTCTTTGCAATCGAATACCGATAAGGGCTGATTGAAGTTCCGATTTAAACGAACTTAATAGTCTTTCATTAGTCTGCGTCAAGAAGTTAGATTTCAAAAAAGAATTACTTCCTATAATTATTGACGCCCAGTCTTAAGTTTTTTTCTTGTTAAATATTGTTATTTACCTTTCGATGATCATTTAAATTAATATAGACCGACATCTTTGCCCAACATGAATCTGAGCCATTACATGTAATGTAAATATTGTAAATTTTTATCTAATCTAAATAGAGTTTTTTCCGGTTTCACTATCTGCACAAACGACAAATTCCTGTTGCATTTATATGATATTATATTTTATCTAATATCGCTTCTGCTAGTGCCATTAACTAACTTAATGCAAATGTAAACTGTTTATGTAATTTTTTAAACTTGAACTTTATCATTTATTGGTTTTGTATATTTTTGTTTTTTTTTTCATTTTTAGATGTACCCACACAAATACCTCCTCTTACGCCGGGCACTAATCGCAAAGTAGCTGAAGTGTTAAAGGCGTCTTTTGCGTCTTGGGAAAAAGAGGTACAAAATTGCAATATAACCAAAGGTAAGACATTAGAATAACGTTAAATTAAATCGTTCCCCTGAGTGATCAGGCGAAGGAATTTAATAAAGATTTTGAATACGTATTAAGAGCAAGTGGTATCAAGTTAGGGAGCTTCGTTGGTTGGATGCAAACAAAATGCATAGATTTCTTGCTTAGATTTCTGGTGAAGTGTTTTAGATGTCGCCCAATAAGTCTCCCAATCATTTCACTTTCCGTTCTCAATTTCTTTATTTATCTACACCGATTTTCATTTTTCCATTTGAAGAAAAACATTTAATGGACTTTGGGACAAAAGAACGGCACAATGACGGCTATACTTGAGGTATATGGTGGATGTTTGCAACAATTTCTGATATAATCCCTTCGATTTTTAATCAAAGAAAAGTTGGTCCGTTTGTTTGTGGTAAAGTGTTTCTTGCCCACGAAAGCAGCTTTTCTCTCCCGAATTTTGAAAAGTAATTTTGATTAACACTCTCCTGTTATTGCTTTACCAGTTTGACAATAAAATATTAGTAAGATTTCATGTTTATCCTAAAAATGTATGTCATGACTCCTTTTAGCAGTAATGACCACCTTGGCTGTTGTGAAGCGAAAGAATAAAATTCAGTCTCTCTTAGGGCTTATCAATGCAATTTAAAACATTAGCGATGAGGTTCAATCTCAAGTCTAGTGACAAATTAATGCATAGCTGAGTGTTTTTCTTTACAATTGAAAGGATAATCAGGCGAAAGTGATTTTTTTTACAATATAGTCTTGCTGCCGATGCTCTTGCTAAGTCCAAATTATTTGCTGATTACATGTCTGCTTTAGAATTGCTTTACGTCTCAGATGCTTGTGAGTTGGGCTAAAGGTAGATCTTTTAAATCCAACTTATACACATATTTCTCCAGCGTTTGCAGTTTTCGGTTGATTTTGACCATGGTCCGTCGATAAAATCGATACGACTGCGTATTTGGATAGACAAACTTTCCTTTACTATTTGATAATAAGAATTCATCTCTGCCCATGAGCAAGTCCGTAAAGTATAAGTAGAAAATTACAATTTATAATTTACATAAGCTAGTGATGTAAAATTTTGCATCAATTTTTCGCGGACTATAAAATTAGTTCACATCTTTGTCTCAAAAAAAAAAAAAAAAAAAAAACTCTTTTCACCTGCAAGAAGAGAAGCAAGCATAAGAGCATAAGAAAGGTTAAATGTTAAAATCATATTTTCGGACCACACTAACGCATACAATTTCAATAATTTCATAACAATTAAAAACGTCATAAAAAAAAAAATAAAAAAAAGATTAGAATCAACAAACATTGAGTTCTCAAAAACCACTCTACAACTCTACATATATATTCTCTACCTTACGCATTAAATCATAATAAGATAAGACCAACAAGAAGTTAACAACGAAAAGGAAAAATATCCCAAAAGCAATGTGGTAGAAATATTGTTAATAAAAAACCTAAAAGCATTATTAAATATGATAATAAAGTTGTTTTTGTTTTTCTAACCACCACCACCACCACCATCATCATCATCATCATCATCAGCAGCAGCAGCAGCAAATGAAAAATAAAACATGTTTGTCCGATGACTTTGTGACTTGCACGAAGCATCTTTCACAAGTATAAACCGAATAAGTATAAGTATTTTAAGTTGATTTAGACGAGTGTAACTCTTGGATGAAGCCTTAAATATTCCATTATATAAGTAATGATAGCGTTGGTACGTATTCTCACAAACTAACTAATAAAAGATTCTCTATGCATTTTGGCGAGACTTCTATTGCTTACAAAAACCTATACCGCTGTGTTGAGAGTATTCAAAATTCGTCTCAAGCTCTATCTACATATATATGCGTTAGAAATAAAACAAAAGAAAATTTTTGATTTTTATTTTTTGAACCCTAATGCAAATAATGCTTTGTCCTTTTGCAGATCCCCGCGAATGGACTGAGGAACATGTCATATATTGGCTTAATTGGGCGATCAAAGAATTCTCCTTAGTCTCTATGAATTTGGAGCCATTTAGTAAAATGAAAGGACGTGATATGATTGAATTAGGCAAAGATAAATTTTTAGCCATTACACCGGCTTTCACTGGCGACATACTCTGGGAACATTTGGACATTTTACAAAAAGGTAAGTGCGCACATCATCTTAATACCACATACAACCAACCAAAACACAATTTCATATAAAAATTCAATGCCTAACTGTGAAAACACTTTACCATCTATCTATTCATTTACATTTGAAACTAAAAACAACAAAAACAATATAAACAACAACATCAACAGCAACAACAAGAACAAGAATAGTAACATAGATAATAGAAATTTCAATAGATTCGTATAGTTATTAAAATAATAACAACTAAAATACAACAACACGGTAATAACAGCATAATGAAAACGGAACATGTAATGAATAGTACACACTAAGCATATTAAAGAGATGTTGGCGCCATAGATATCAATAAAAAAAAAAAAAGAAAAAAATAAATAAATAAATAAATTGCCAGATAGTTGAGAGAGTGACTGCATGCGTTTGTGTTCATCGATACCTGTGACATATATATATTTGATATTTAATAATTGATTTTGTGCTAGGATTCGTTTTAAAAAGAACCTAATATTTTTAGGAATTTTTTTTCCGTGTTCTTCCTTATTCTTCTAACAATTTTCTTATGAAATTTAACAAAAAGGTGGAAAAAATAAGAAAAAAAAAAACAAAACAAATTCCATTAAAATTCTAACAATGTGTAAAAATTGGAACCAATTTTCTTGTAATTGCAGTTTTATAGAATTTTTCTCTTCTCCTTCTTTCTGATTGAAAATGTTTTCTGATTTCCTGATTTAATTCCGGATTCATCTTATTGAGCTTCGCCATCATTTTCATCATTATAGCTTTTTGTCCGGTTTTTATTTATATAATAAAATAAAATTAAATTTTCTAAAATTTCACCCTTTACAGTAGAAAAATTTTCTTAAAAGCACAAAGGTCAAAGGTCTACTAACACTGTCACTTCATATGTAAAGTTAATGATGAGCAATGGGTTGTGCAATTGTGTGATTGAAAATAAGCTAAATGAATGAATGAATGATTTTCTTGGTATCTATGTCCCCTTTACAAACTTCTACGTTTGTACCGCAGAAAAAAAAAAAGATTTAGATATATAAAGTGTCGCCTATATATATAGTTTTAGAATGTGTCAAATCGATCGGGGTACATTTTCTTAAATGCTAACAAAACGATTTATTCCTCTTCTCTAAGCTCGCCTGTCCCGATTTTATTCCGTCGTCTATGACTCTCTTTCTTGATTCGTTTGTTGATTCGTCTGCCATTCTTATATCATTTATTTGTGTGTTCGCTTCTGCATCTGTTTACATAATCTGCCGACCAAGGGAATCCAGAAGTCAGAACCCGCCTACCTGCAGACCTTGTTAATAAGTAGTTAGCTTCTATGGAAGTCCAAAATTTAAAATAGGTTTTCAATAGACAGAGGGGCGCTCCGCAAGACGTATGCCTGGCACTGCTGGGTCGATACTTTTTGTTGGAGATTGAAAATCTATGGTTAAGTTGTGTAATCCAAATGCAACAGAGGCAATTATCCCAAAACTGTACAGTTCCAACAATGGAGATAATAAGACCAAGATTCTCTCCATTCTCCGTTGTGACAGAGTCCAAATGGCTGGATACGGTTCTGCGGACGAAAATCACGATAGTTGAGCTCACCTCGAAATCAGAGGATCATTATGCTTAGCAGGCCTCGCTTTATCTCGAGGGGAGAGTTTGGCCCAGACCCAATCTCTCAAATCTGGTGCTCTACTTTGGTATTGGGCCCCTAACGTTTGCCTCTTTCGCTGGGCGCAAGTTATCAATTACTTATCATTCTATAAAGATTCCTGGCTACTTTCATCACAGGTATAGATGTTAAACTCTGCAGGTATCTATCTAAGTAACCCTTTATCTATTCGTTTATCGCTCAAGTGACCATATGTTTGTCATTTTGTCAACCGTTTTGTCCGTTTCTTCATCTGCGGTCGCATCCTCCCATACTCCTACTAGCCTGCTTATTTATTCTCCTTTTGACTTTTGAAATTTTGAACCCTGAAAAATATGGTAAACAGTCTGCCTCGACATCCTCATAATTTGTTCAATTGCAGGGTACAATGAAATGAATGGAAATACTCTGCTGACGCAAATGCGACCAATTGAAAGAACATTGGAAACATCATGTCAGAAATAAACTCCGTCGCTCGCAGCCGAATTCGAACGTTTATGTTTCTATACTGATCCATATGTCCATCTGCCGGCCTGTGTCTATGTTATATGTATATATGTATATATATATATGTATATACGTTATATGTATATCTTGTCCGATGGTCCGCTTTTTTGCCTGCTTCTCTATCGGCACATTCGCTTATCTATCCACGCTCGCTTGGCTGTTCCTTCCCAGGACTATTTCCACGTGTGTGTATCCCCTCGTTTATCTATCTCTTTTTGTTGGTCGATTCTCTCTTCTGTCTACCCGTACTCGTGTCGTCAATTGCAAATAATGGACCGAAGGAGATCATAGGTAGGGTAGGATCCAGAATGCGCCTGCGCTTATAATCCGTTCTGCAATTAGGTTTCTTCCGGCCGTTTATTCGTATAAGGGTAAAACACTTGTATTTCTTTCAGATGTAACCATGTGTAGAGTGTCCGTGGGACAAAGATTTAAAGTCCTCACCATATACTCCGAACCAATTAGCACATCGTCCCTTTCTATAATCTCCGATTCTCTTCAAGTGACACTTAAGAGTAGCCATAAAAATAATAAAGTCCATAGTTCGATAGTTAGTCAGACAAAGAGAATTTTTACAGATACGACAGCTGTTACATAAGAGTGTACTTTACATTAATATATATATAACATAACTTACACTAATATATATACTATTGTACACCAAGTTTAGAAATAAATGCGAAGGTAGGATAGAACGAACATCTATCTGAAACTTAATACGTAAGCAAACCACGCACGAGAAGTGTGTACTACTTTAGTTAGTAAACATGTGGTATGCAAACAACACAGAGAGAGAGAGAGAGAGAGATTGCAAGAAGAAAATTTATGTTAAAACTAATCATAAAATTTCCGGAAATTTTGAATGGAACTAATTTGCCTTTGGATTCTGCTCTAAAAAGAAAAACAAATTGACCGGAATAGCTCTGAAGTAAAGCATGGACAAAACTATTTACCGAAATAGGAAGAAAACACGTTTTATATGTTAACTCTTTTTCAATACCGAAGCTTTTAAATTACGAATAATTTTGTGGCCAGTAATATAGACAAGTTTAAAACTCGCTTAACAGCCGAAATCCTTTTTATGAGTCGTATATGTGCAAATGAAGTGCGACAGCTTCCTCATCAATTTTCTAAACAAAAATGATTTCATGCGGCCCATTGGCATTGGAGAAGACAATAGATTCTCTAAAATTTTCCTTAGTGGTGGGTGTTCGCGATTCGTCGTGAGAGGAGTGCAACTCTTTAATACTTTTCCTCTTGTTTTTTGTTTTCAATTTTCTAAATAAATTTTATTAACTGACGGTGCCCAGTTGAAAATAGCATAACATTAAGTCTACGCTTAGAGACGTGGCAGCGCAGACACTGGCCAATAAATTCGATTACTACGATAAATACAAAAAATATATTTTTTTTATATGAAAATGGCACACGAACAGACACGCACGCTCACTAATACAGTGAAAAAAAAAAAAAAAAATGTAATAAAAAATAAGAAAAAGACCTCTTGCTCAAAACCGATAAATAGAACGGAAAATCTGCTTAAAAGCGGATGTCTTCGAGGTAACAAAATCAACATCAATTTTTTTGTTAATATTGTTATTGGTATGTTATGTTAAAAGAGTGTATGTGTGCGCGACCGCGTGTGTGTGTGTGTGTGTGCTCGCGCGAAAGTGCTTCTCCGTATGCTAAGTATTGGTTTTAATACACCTTCCTTCACCTATAATTCGCTTCGGTTATTTATATTGACCAACAGCATAACTTGTCTTTTACGCTTTGTTTTTTTGCTCTCTGCAAATAACTCAGTTTAAATGCACCTTTAAATCTGTTCCACGTTTACCGGTATTTATGCATACGTATGTGTATACGTACATATATATATATCTATGTGTCTTTCTAACGGTAGCTATACAACACGATAGTGTTTGCTCTTTTTACATTATATTAAAAGAAACTGTATTTACGTGGAGTTGCACTTCTATTATCTCGATGCAAAGCATGGTACATTCAATTCCTAACCCTTTTCATGTAACGTTTGTCTCGCGAACACCACTATCCTTGAATCATTTTATGATGGCGCACATAAGAAGAGAAAACAAAAAAAGATATGAAAGTACGTAAACGAGGCAAGCACAAAACTCTAAAGAATATTTCATTATGCAGACCGCCGATAAAGTAGGAAGTTAACAATGTTATTATAAAAAATATGAAGCTATGGACATTTCTCCACTCTAAGCAACTAATGACTGTTAGCTGAGGAAACGTTTGCTAATATAAACGCACAATTTGGAGCACAATCAGTAAACTGTTCATAACTAACTGTTCAACTGTGAAAGACATAAAAAACTTATAGATAGATAGATATTCAGGCATGAAAATAGTTCAGAAGTTGAAAAGTAAATCTTTAATAAGATCAGAAATGCAAAGAAAGAACATACTTGAGAAGACACATACTTCACGTGAATCCTGTTGTATAATCGATAGTCAAGTTTTTTTTATTACTTTTCATCGATGATTCAATTTTTATTTTATATTCTATATTAGGTAGTCCAGAAATTTCTTCCAGAAGTTTTTCCCAACAACAGGTTAAAATAACCTTTTTCAGGTATCTAGACAGATAAGTAGGATTGGAAGTATGTATAAATACAGGCTTATGTTACGAGATTGGTTGGGTTATAGCAATGACATATAAGTAAAAAAAGGCTAAACTGCTGCATAGGCATATAAAGAAATATGTTCTGTGTACGAAAATACTGGTGGAGCACACTTCCCAAAATTGGTTTGCGAAACTTCGTTTTAGAACTTTTCAGTGAAGACTTTACCGCGTTTAGGTAAACAGAACTACCAACCAAAGGTTATAATTGAAGCCAATCACTTGGTAACGATTCTCTGAGATCTCTTAATTTATTCAAGAAGCTGCTTACTCCTTATATATATAAAAAAAAAAGATTTTATTTCTTAGCAAAATGTTGTAAGAAATTGCCGGACTGTCAAATATTATACCTATACTGCACTTACTTATGTTGTTCATTTTGTCAAGACTTGTTATATAGTTGCCTCCACCTCATTGCAACTAAACATATTTTTAACACGGTTTTTAAAGCGCTTTTCAAAGTCTTCAGTACCTTGTATCATACTTTAATGATTGGTTGTGAGTTTTCATTCGATAAAGGTCTAACTCTTAGTGAGATCGACCACATGCCTCCAGCCTGTAACTATACCGTATCTTCCACGATGACCAACACGTACAAGGAATATCGTGTATATATATATAAAAAATCAGTCATCCACTCTTATAATTAATCCTGTTTGAGACATGATTAGTATGCCTTAGCCCGAAGTGAAAGTATTTATAGTAATGAAATTTGAATTCCAATTTGTACATTTTTGAGAATTACAATAGGGAACACCTAAGAATATGATGGTGTAGATAGACAGGATTAGATCGAGTTACAGAATAAAATGTTTAACAAAATTGCACACCAATTGTCATGTATATCGCTTATAATAAACGGCGACTGCCGCCATGAAAGTCTTAGCTATGGTACCCGTCAACACAGCGTTTTAATGTGATAAACGATAACTCGCGTAGGCAATCGTAATATGAGGGGGGAGGGGGCTCTTACCACTCCCCAAGTCCCAGAAGGATAGGCGCCGCAAAATACGAATCAAAGTGTAAATATCCTCTCTATACAGCGTAGAAATTCTGAATCGATAGAACCGTGCATGTCCATCCGTCCGTTGCATATATCTGACGTTTTCTTTTGCAATGATCTCTTATCTGTTTTATCTTAATTTAGTCAAAAGTAAAATGTCTTCTTGTCAAGAAGTTAAAACAAAAAACGCAATCGTTTCATTATTTCCCATAACCTATTTTATCCTCTTCAAAGCAAACAATTGCTAAAATCGAATTCAAGAATGAAGCGAATCTTACTTTTTCTTCTGTGATTTTTATTTGATTTTAATCTCTCCCTCTCTCTGTCTCTGTCTCTGTCTCTCTCTCTCTCTCTCTCTCTCTCTCTCTCTCTCTCTCTCTCTCT